CTACTTTGCATGACTGGAAGAATGAAGGATGATACTGTATACTGTTGACAAAGCTCCGTACATTATGAGCTAACAGCCATTTCTTCACAATAGCCACTGTTGTCCACTCTTATGACATGTGGGCGATTCTCCTTGCTTCAGACATTCATTTCCGCATGATTGGATTATGTTGATCCGAGTTGATTTTGACCGAGATACAGCCAAAAAGAGGGATTACATCAATCCACACATCTAACCATGCTCTAAGGTGTTGCTCAACTGAAGTAATCCCTAGGCGAGCGTAGCTCAGCCAAATCAACTGGATCAACATAATCCAATTATGAAATGAATGTCTGAAGCAGGAGAATCGCTCACATGTCATAGAGTGGACAACAGTGGCTATTGTGGAAGAAATGGCTGTTAGATCGCAATGTACGGGCTTTTGTCAACAGTATATAGTATCATCCTTCCATCCTTCCTAGTCATGTAGCTGAGTTACACAAAGAGGTCCCTCTGCATCTTTTGCTCAGTCTAGCTACTTCACAATGAACAAGACAATTTTCATATAGCATCACGCTTTCTTACAAACATAAAGCTGCCTGCACTGAACTTTACAATGAAACGTGGGGTTTTTATTACAATGGGCTCGGCTTGGCCAACAGCACCTTGTGTGAAAGTTTCGCGTTCAATGTCGCAAACAGCCCAAAAAACATTTTTGGTCGTCGTCGTCGAAGAGGTAGTCGACCCCCAGATCCAGTTTGGCTGGTGGCGACATTGCGAAATCTGGATCGCCCACGATGAACTTCATACTTTGACACGATTTCTTTGACCCCGACAAGCACGTTGATCTATTAAAGAGCCCACGTTTGATTGTAAAGTTTGGAGAAACAGACACCTTTATGTTTGTAAGCGTGATGCTATATGAGAAGCGGTCTTTGTTTAATGTAAAGTAGTATGACTATAATAGAGCAAAAGATGCAGAAGGACCTCTTTGGGTAACTTTCAACTGGGTTAAAAGTTTGGACTTGTGGACCATGCATGACAGGTACACCACCCTATCTTCATGTCATACATTGGCAGCTAATAGCCACTTTGTGCATTCCCAACTTTTGTGCATTCTATTGTAGGTGGATGATGCTCCTGCTCTAGGACATTCATTTCCACATTAAAGTAGGTTGGATCCGAGCTGATTTGGCTGAGTTACGCTCACACAAGATTACATCGGTTGAGCTACATCGAGCGTGCTTTATGTCCAGAGTGATGTAATCTCTCTTTGACCGCAGCTCAGTCAAATCAGCTCGATCAACCTACTTTAATCATGGAAATGTCTGGAGCAGGGGCATCGTTTCCATGCAGTGGATCTCGCAACAATGATGATTGGATAAAAGTGGCCGTTAGCTAGCAATACATGACTGTTCCTAGATGATTCATAGCAACTATACATTGACCCTTCCATTCATGCAAAGTAGCTGAGTGCTACACAAAGAGGTCCCTCTGCATCTTTTGCTCTGCCAGGGTCCACCTACTTGACAATGAACAAAGACCACTCTTCATATAGCATCACGCTTACGTGCATCACAAAGGTGACTGTATCTCCAAACTCTTTACAATGAAACGTGTGGGGTTTTTATTAGAGCAATGGGCTCGGCTTGGCCAACAGCACCTTGTGTGAAAGTTTCGCGTTCAATGTCGCAAACAGCCCAAAAATATTTTTTTGGTCGTCGTCGTCGAAGAAATGATCCCCAGATCCAGTTTGGCTGGTGGCGACATTGCGAAATCTGGGATTGGCCCCGATGGACTTCATACTTTGACACAAGATCGCTTTCACCCCGCCGAGCACATTGTTCTCTTGAAGACCCCACGTTTCATTGTGTAATCTTGAGATATGACTGCCTTTATGTTTGCACTATGCTGTAAGCGTGATGCTATATGGTAAGTGATCTTTGTTCATTGTCAATCGCCTCAGTAGTAGTGCCGAAGATGTAGAAGGGCTTGTTTGTGCAACGCTGCCGAGCACGGGATCTGAAGGATTAATGCTATTGGTGGACAATGCATGAGAACCTTGCCCTGGCCTGCGTATAGTAAGGCCTGCCTATTGTGGTTGCCCGTATGGAATGGTAAGTTCCCATATAAGATTGTATAAGAAGATAGCCTACGCTGAAAACTGTTTTAGGTGATCATGGTATGTTTATTATGTCCTCGTGCCATATTGCATTAGAGCTCACTCTTTGTTGAACATAACGAATTAAGCTTTACAATGAACCAAGCTTTCTTTATGTGACAAGCAGTATTGTTGGCCATCATCACTCTCGGATTTATTACCTTTCCAGCATGAACATTAGAGGATTTACAATACTTTTCGTCTATCCGCATGTGAACTAGGAAGCTTTAGCGAACAATACATATGATGATGCAAACGATCCGATCCCCCTTGTTGACGACCTTCGAATTCTATCTCCTCCTTCAATCTAAGTAATCCACATCTTGCACATACAAGCTAATAGTTCGATGCCCTTCTAAATAACATGTTGAACCCAATTTTCACACAATGGAAGTCGACGAATAGCACATTGTATAATGGATGTTTATGAAGTAAATATGATAAAAGACCAGCATTGAAAATTGAATAAGGTACGGGATGGTGAACTACATAGAGACAATAGAGAAAAACGTGACCTTGTATTCTTGGTTGTTGCCGTCATAAACAGCCTTCACCCATGATTGCTGCGCGCATTGACTCGAGTATTCCAATACCATGCGAGGCTGCAAACACCTTCTTTCGTCAATTCCATCCCATCCATCATCATCCTCCTCAGCCGTATCCACATGACATGACCCATAGTGTCTGATGACAACGCGTCAAATAATCACCATGATTCACACTTGCATCCATCCATCCATCCACCATAACCATTCCAAATCCAAAATGTTGGTAGATAAAATCCCCAGAGATCGCTGCTGATACGCTTCCTTTCCCATCCGACCCTTGGTCCCTCTCTTTCTCGTCACTTTCCATCACAATTCACCCAGCTTGAGATTGCTTGTATTGCGGCGTAGTCGACGGCTGATATGGTATCGTCCAAACTAGACATCACGTTCTTAATGGACCAAGGAAACCAAACCAGTCAAAATATCCATTCCTTCCATCCCATGTATCAGAGCAATCTTGAAACCCATATCCACATCCACATCCATATCCATAAGAATTCGTTTGTATTGAAGCACGTTGCTACACGTAAATAAAGCTGCTTCTATACAATGGCTATCTGCTGTGGCACGTAACAAAGGTTGTAAGGCAAGTTGCTGCAAGTAAAGAACGCCGTTGGAGACGATGGAATAAGACCTTGCTAATAGCAATTGCCGGAATGAATGCTGTCATGATTGGTCGTGGTAGAAGAGTATACAAGAGAAGGTGGCGTGTCAAAGGGCTCGTGTGTTGTAGTGGGGTGCACACGCCATGGACATGCCATTCAGTCAAAGGGAAACGGATCAAGGCAGTTGTAGGATTGACATGATGGGTTGAAGCAGGGCAATCGTTCGCATGCGATGGGAGGAAGAGGGAAGAGCTGAGAGTGGAAGGAGTGGAAATTACATAGGTCGGACACCTCTTGTATAAATGCATGAACACTGTACATCAATTCTTGATTATGACATTTCCCCTCTCGAACCTGAAACTATCACACAAGGTGCTCTTGGTCATGCTGAGCATGTTGATCTAAAAAAGACCTCATGTTTCATTTGAAAATTTGGAATGAGAGGGTACAATGTGGGTTTACTATGTAAATCGGAAATGGGGGACAGCGCCGATTCATGATTTATCGAAATAGTATGTATTATCTTGGGATTCCCCACCTTGTACCTGAAAATGGGTCAGCAGGTTCGCTGGGACATGCTGATCAACTTCATTCATTTAAAAGTCGCAGACTTCATTATAAAGACTTTTAATGCGGGGCGGCCCAAATGTTGGAGAGGCGATGACCGGGCAGGAACGTCAATGGGTGTATAGTGCATGCCCCCCGAAATTGCCCATCTCGAACTTGGGTTTTGGTTAGACGGTGGGCTTCGACTCGCTGATCAACTTCATCCAAATAAAGACCCTACACTTCATCATGAAAAGATTAAATGGGAGCGACCAACGATGAATGGATGGGAATACAAGCAATGTGAGCGGTCCATGACTTCAAGGTTGCCCACCTCAAACTTGAAACTTTCACATAAGGTGCTCCCGGGAACGCTGATCAACTTTGTTCTAACAAAGACCCCAGAGTTCATTATGTATGATAATCGTGAATGGGAGGATGTAATATGGGAGAGACAATGAACGATGATAAGAAGGATGCACGGCACATGAATTGGGGTATTACTTTACGCTCCCTGTAGATAGCATTAATTCTGCATGTTTGTATGTGGCACATGCCCTGAGGGTATACTTGACAAGCACTAGCTCTAGTTTTTCGCTATTCATCCGCCATTTTTTCCATAACGTTTAAAGCAAGCATGGTCAATCATATGAATTTTCACAATGACAAGAAGAGATGATAAAGCTGCATGATGACACCACTATCGAGGTTCAATTTCTGTATAGATGATTGGCTAGCCCAATAACAAGAATGTTCATGCAAGATCTCTTATCTAATCTTAAACCTTTGTTTGGCATAGTAATAAAACACAGCGTTTAGTTTACCTGATGATGGTATTGTTATGCAAGCATGTACATGAAGAATCGGGAACGATGTTCAAGTTGCACACTGATAAAGAAAAATGACATGTGATATTTGAAGCATACACTCCTACAGGGGTTTTATGTGCATGTACACTTGGCATTGCTGTCATTATCATTGGAATTATTGATTGCGTGGGACATTTAGTTACATTGCCTAGCAACGATCATCATACAAGAGTTGGTGGTTGGCATGTGGTTGGATGTATCGCGTGTTTGCGGAAGTCAAAACACCTGAAGGGTATCATTGGGATCTTTTTCATTTTTCATTTGCCCTCTTTCAACCACCCCAACTTCCACAATGACAACTGCAGAAACTTCAGCACTCGAAAGCATTCCTGCTGATCAGCAAGGTAGCTTCTCCTCTTTCCTCAAGACATTGGCTTCCTTCACTGGTGATTTATCGGCCTTGACGTGTCCATCGTTTTTGTTGGCTCCCATTTCCCTTTTGGAATACTCGTAAGTTCTCTTTTCATCTTTCTTTATTCCAGTGACACAATGGGTGCATGGTGGGAAATGAGCCTGTCAAGATGAAGAATGAGTGTATGGCAATGGGGTATACGTGGTCGTGCGGTCTATCTATTTCAAGGGGTTGCGTGTGTTGGCTGGGTGCGTTTGCTTGTGGATGTCTCAGGGCACGGTCACCAGAGGATCATTATGTCATCTCATGACACACACACAGGGCAAAATTCTTTCATTCAATGTTGCACGTGGGAGTGATTGGGAAGGGGAAGCCACCTTGACGATGTATATCAATCATTGGATTCTGACATGCACGTGGAAGCACATACCACCTCATCCTAGTGATCTAATTCGTTGAACTTTAATAGGTCTTTTTGGGCTGATCAACCTGCATTGGTATGTGGAAGAGATGGTAGAAAAAGAATGCAATTGCTAATGCTTTTATTTAGTTGACTGATATCCCCAAATCTGATAATGCCGAAGAACGTTTCTATGCCGCTGTCAAATGGTTTATCTCGTCTTTGAATGGATCCTTTTCAAGCCGTGTCCCCAAGGGCGAATGGGAAAAGAAGCCTTTCAACCCCATCCTCGGTGAACAATTCAAGTGCTCCTGGGACAATGGTACTCATATTGTGTGTGAGCAAGTATCGCATCATCCTCCAGTGTCGGCCTTTTTCATTGAGAACAAAGAAGCTGGTGTCATTGTCAATGGTCATGATGGTCAAAAGACGCGTTTCTCTGGTACACAAATGTTGGTGGATCAAGTTGGATACTGTGTGGTCAAGCTCACTGGCCGTGATGAGACGTATCTCTTCACTCTCCCATCCCTCTCTGTGAATGGCATTTGGTATGCAGGTAAGCTTAGCGACATATCATGGAACAAAAGAACTTTCGAGAAGGCTGATGGATTATACTCTCTTTTTCCCTTTAGCTCCTTATGTTGAACTTACTGGTACCTCCTACGTCCAATCGTCTTCTGGTTTCCATGCAGCTATTGAGTATTCCACCAAGGGTTGGATTTCCGGTGAATTCCATCATTTCAAGGCCAGCGTTACTCACGAATCGCTTACTGGTCCCACTGTGATCGAAGGTCAATGGACTGCCAAATCAACCATCACCAAGCACAAGGGTAGTGCTGAACCATTTTTGGATTTGACCAACATGGAAAAGCCCACACCCAAGGTGGCTGAAATTGATGCTCAAGGCAAACTTGAATCTCGTCGTGTGTGGCAAAAGGTGGCCGAAGCACTCAAGGTGGGCGATTACATGACTGCATCAACTGAAAAGTCTGCTATTGAAAATGAGCAACGTGCACTTCGAAAGGAACGAGCGGAAAAGAATGAGACCTGGAAGCAAGAGTACTTTGTATCCAAGAGTGGTGAGGAGATTTATGGTGATTTGCGTGAAAAGATCTTGTCAAAGAGCGATAACCGGTTTGTGGATACGATGGGTGCTGAATCCGGATGGTTGTACAAAGAGCATTCCCACCTCAAGTCGCCATCATCTTAAGGGAGGAGGTTGATTCTATACATGTATACACACGCGCATCCTTTTACCTTGTCGTAGTTCCACTCCCCCTTTTCTTTGTGTTCACTCGTCTATTACCCTTGCCTAGTACTCTTTTTGCACATATAGTCCATTGTGATTTTCAATACACACTGCAACAACATTTTTTGGCCTAGAGTTTATGCTGATTTTTCAAAGTTAACGTATAAGGCAAGATAACATTGGAGACACAAATAGGGTAATGGTGACACAAAAATGAGATGCTTTTTTCATCGCCAACTTGCCTACATTCCTTCGATGGGATATCGAATCGCACTTTAGGCTTGTCAATGGGGCTTTAGGTTACGTCAACCTGGCAACGGTTGTTCTAGATTCTTCGGTAAGCAGCACCTTAATGAGAAACATTACAACGATCGCCCCGACAACTTTGTTATACACTTTTGGTGACAAGGATTGAATGTATGTGGTATGAGCCGATCATACAGGTACCATGAGAAAATGACGAGGCGTCAAGTAATAAGAAGAGATAAAGGTGTCATCCTTCCAAGATGTCTCTTTTTGGGAATTGAGATGATTCGATTCCTCCAATCCACGCAAGTGAACTTCCATATTTTGCAAATAGAAACGAAGAGAATATTCCGACAGCCACTCTATGAAATACACGACGTCCTGAGTCAATTATGCTCTTTCCTTCTTTCGCAGATGGGCAATCAACCGACCGCTTTCATCAGCAAGCTCTGGGAGTAAACATTGTTGGACATGGATGGTTAGAGCAAATGCGATAAGCATCAGTTGTTGATTATCTCTATACACCTTTTCCCCCTTCTCCACACTTTAGCATGATCCATGATCCAGGAACCAACGACCTAATTCGCTGGTCTGATATACATGACAATACCGTGTATATTCTTGATGTGGCTGCGTTTTCCGAAAAGGTGTTGCCACACTATTTTGCTCACAGCAATTGGCCGAGTTTTGTACGTCAACTAAACAGTAAGTGTTGTGTTTATGCAAACATCATATCATGTTACCGTTTTTATTCATATGATGAATTTGGCACTATGTAGTCTATGGATTTCGCCGTGTCAAGGATGATTCGTCGCGTGGATCGGATTCTTATCAATTTGCGCATGATGACTTTACACGTAGTGGGGGACAAGAGCTTCATCTTATCAAGCGAAAGGGGCAAGGATCAGGGGTTGCTACTACTGGTGGTGCTAATACAAGTGGCAATACCAATGTTATGGAACGACTTGACAAGTTGTTTGAACAACTCAACGCCTTGGAATCGGAATGCGCATTGGTGGTATCCGAGACTCAAACATTGCACAGGATCTATGCACAACAACAACAGGTAACAAGGACTAATCCATGAATGGGAACCCTTCCCAAGCTCACATACACGCGCATTGATACCATCATGTGGCCTCATGTAGATCCTTGCTTGCATGTTGGATCTCCTCCAAGAATTGAATACACATCCGGGTAAATTTAGCACGTGATAATCCGTATCTCTGGATGACAAGGGTGATAATAATAATAATAATAACGACTTGATTAATCCACGTAGATCTTGCCGAGGTTCAAAGGCGATTGCAATCGGCCCTCGAAACTGCTAATTTACGTGTCAATCCTTTGGCCATGGGTGGTGGTGGTGCAGCACCACCTACCACGCCCCTCCCTTTGATGCAACAATTACCATCCATTGCCGAGGCTGTGAGAACGGCTAAAGAAACCACTGATTTACCCCCTCTTCATGATTCAACCCATGACTCATTCCAGCAACAAGAATGAGCTTATATAGTCAACCCATGATTGCCATACAAGATGTCATTCAACATGATATGCTTTTTCCTATACAATAAATCCCATACTCTTTAACATGTAAAACTGCTATTGTGTGTGGATGATGAATGATGGTGGATCTTGAAAGGAGGATGAAGGGGGAGGAGATCGGGATTGTGGGACTGGGCGGCGTGGCTTACTTTAGCTCCGCTGGAAAAAGTTTTTTCTTGTGGCAGGTCCCCAAAAAGCTATAAAAAGGCAAGCTGCCTGGCAGCCGTGTGATGTTTTTCTTTACAACGCATTTATACCAATTGTTCAAAAAGCGTTCATGTGAGATGGCATTCGTGCTATCGAAGACACATTGAAATCGTCATACCAATTGCAGACTATATCATGTCAAAGGGATTGGGTGCAGCGAGAGTTTAGGTCAGAAGCTTCGTCTTCCCCAATGGCACTGGCTGCAAGTCTCTTCGACACATTTTTTTATTTCATGAAAAGAAAATGATAATACTTTATACACGTTGCTATGACTTTGTCGCATCAAATAAAGCATCATGCTACCTACAAAGGCTTGGAGGAGGAGAGAGGGGGGATTCCTTCTTGTTGCATTCAGCGAGTGTTGCCATTTGCTACATGGTGTTGGACCAAACCCTTGCTTTAGTCATTATGTTTCTCAACGCCCACTCTATACACACCCATACACCCCAATCTTTCAACTCAACTCAACCCAATCCGTTCATTGACATGCTGACATGAAGAATGGACAGCTTGCCCTTGCACTCTTTTTATCTCTGATTCCTGCCGTCGCTGCCGTTTATTGCCTAGCAACAGAACACGCCTTTACAAGTATCCTGCTATTCACATTGTCGATCGTATGCGTTGGAATGTCGTTTATTGCGTTTCTCAGCTACGCGACTTTCAAGCATGGTGTACCAGCACTATTGGATTGTGTGCGTCAAACCTTGCTTCCTATCACTCAATTGCTATCTCGCACTCACGTGATTGGACCCCTTGTGTCATTGTTGGTGCGTTCGACATTCTTTGTTTGGTTCATGATGTTGCTTGCAAGCGATCGCTTATTGAGAAGTATCCTGAGCCGTCTCGTTGGATCACATGTGTCAGGTCGTCGATTCTCTGTTATCAATGCTATGGATCCAGACTTTTCGTTGTTTGATACTGCACCCGATACCATCCATGATAATGATCCACCATTGCCAACAAACACCCACTATTCCCATTCACTGGCATATTCATTATGCGTGGCATCCAAGCTGGTCTATGAAGATATACCACTCATTCGTCACGAGCTTGATAAAGCTGGCTTCGAGGTCTCTGAAACATTCAAACCAATGGCTTACTTGGTAAGTGACTCCTCATAACACTTCGATGATGGCAAACTAACAAGTCTTCTTCCTCGTTTTAGAATATCTGTGCTTTTATTGTCGCCAAGGATGATGACATTTTGCTTGTATTTCGTGGGTAAGTGGATGAAAAGGTCTACATAATAGTCAAATGTTGATTGATTTTTGTAGAACAAATCCCTTGAACTTTCAAAACTATATCACCAATATCCATATGGGCATGATTGGTATCAATGATGTGGATGGAGCAGCCATGGGACATGTACACAAGGGCTTTTGGCGTGCTTTGGGTGAGCCGGAAATCAAGCGTCGCGATACACCTGCAACTGTACAGATCGAACTCAACGGGGTGTCACTTTATCGAACGATTGCATCGGCATTACAAGCATGTTTCAAGATATTGCAGTTCCTGACACTCAATGTCTTTCACCACGTCACCGACCCTGTTGATAGCAGCTGGATGGGCCATGATACGGATGTCAAATCGCATAGCATGTTCTATCAAGCTGAGAAATACATCTTGAAGCTCATGGCAACACGACGTACCAAGTCCACCACTCGGCTTTACATTGCGGGTCATTCGCTTGGTGGCGCTCTTGGAACCAGTAAGTGGAGTTGGATCATGTGGTCGGGTGTTCATGAGGGTGATTGCGTTTATGCAAAATTAGGCTTGTGATGGAGAGAGCGAGAGAGAGAGAGGATTGGTGTTGGATTTATCATTACTAATACACCACGTATCGTATGCAATCCCTATAGTTTTCCTTGCAAAGATGTTACAATCCAAAAGCAAAATCCTGGATCACTTTGGCGGCTTGTATACCTTTGGCCAACCCAAAATCGGTGACGCTGATTTCGCCAGGGCATTTGATAAATTGATAGAACACAAGATCTTCCACCATGTCTATAATAATGGTAAGGCTTTCCTTATCCTTGGGGTGTGATAAGGGTGACACCATGCTTGCGTATGTTGGCATACAGTACTTCTAAGATTCGCATCTTCATCACCTAGATATTGTACCACGTGTCCCTTCCTGGTTACAATACGAGTAAGCATAGAATATGAGAATATTCTCGTTCAAGTGATGCAATCTGACACAATTTGACGTATAGCACACCGCCAGGGATTCTCGTATTCATTGATTCGTCGTACAACATGACGCTTTATCCACCCAAACCAACCACAGGCGAGCCTGTTCCCGTGCGTCAAATTTCTTATCTTCACTTGTCCGGTCTTCTCAATCTACGTGTCATTCAACGGTTGCCTCGTGAAAATGCAATTCGTATCCTTTTTAGGATCCTCTTTCCCTTCTTTGTAAACGATCATTTTCCCTCCGATTACTGCGACGCTCTAAGACGGGGTAAAAAGATAGCGATAGCCAAGGGTCCTCGTAAACGTTGGGTAGCGAATGAATGATGCATTTATGAGCTAATAGAAGAAAAGCTATGTTTGTACTACTATTGCATTGGATTGTACAGTGTTGGAGTAAGCAAGGGAGGAGATGGTCAATAAGAGCAAATGTTGTTGGGGGGTTGTCGTGTGATGATGGGCTATACGTGAATGTTTTCTCATAGCTGATAATGGGTTCAACTACTGATGTTGTTGTTGTTGGCTTGATGAAGTGGATGGATGATCCAAGAGCTTGGCTTCTGCTATGGATTGCATTGGATAGTCGTAATGATAAAAGAAGAAATCAAGCGGCTGTTTGCCTGCAGCAGTTGTTGTCTTGCCAGCATGATGCTGTTGTGGTTGCTGCGGCATATTGAGGTGCTGCGCTTGATGATGCATTTGACCACCACTACCACTACCGGTTGCAGTAATGGCTGTATTTGTAGTGAATGCGCTGGTATGAGGATGCTGAATTGGCCTTGAGGGTGATGCATCAGCGAATGGATTCATTGTAGTTGCGTGATGTGGGATAGGCCTGTAAAGCGGTGGATCATTTTGCTGGTGGTGGAAACGATTGTTGTTATCCTCTTCCTCTTGACTTGAATGATGAAATTGTACCTGTTCATCACTTGGAGGATCATCGCTTGGAGGATCGTCATCGTCATCATAAGCGTCAGCCATTGTGGGGTTGTTAAGAAGAGGAGCAGCAGGAGCAGCAGCAGCAGCACCAGTAGAAAGAGGCATTGTTTGGTTTTGATTTGGATTTTGAATGCTGCTACGACGATGGCCTGTTTGGATCAATCGATCATCCCTTCCATTACGCCGCAAACTTTGACGTTGATTCTGGAACCTAGATAGATGAAAGAATAATCAACATAAACAACATGTAAGAATATACAAAGACCAAGTTGTGATATGGGTGATACGTAACCAAGTATTCACGCTGTCATGGCCAAAGCCTAGCTGCTGTGCCAACTGTTGCAGCTGTTGCCGGTTTGGATAAGCAGTGATATTCCAATAGAAATCGGTAAGGATAGCAAGTTGCTGTTGATTTGTCCTTGGACGCCTACGAGCAGGCGTTGAGAGGGATACGCCTGAAGGTGCTTGGAACATGTTGAGAGGATGATAAAGAAGGAAGAAAAGGGAAAGAAAAGGGAAAAAGAGGATAATCTGTGATAAATTTGATCGATGTAAAACTAACACACGCACGTAGACGCACACAACAACGCGCATGACAATTGGAACCATACTCGGAATTAGAGTCGGGGTGTGTGTCGGTTACTGGGACAACCACGCTTGGCGTTTCTTGATCACATTTCTCTTCCTTCTGTTCTTTCACTTGCCCCTCCTTTCTTTCTTATCTTTTGCTATGGGAGCTACAGATAGCAAGTTGGCTTTTCGAAAGGGCGTATTTCGCCTCTTTGAAGAACAGGTTTGTACTTGTTTTCTTTCCCGCATACACCTACAGTCAACCTCTACCTCTTGCTTTCTTGCTTTCTTTCTTTGTCTTCCTCTCTCATTCACTCACTCATGCACACGTCAATCTCTCCATTAGCACATCCCTGCAACAGCTGACGACTATTGGTCTTTGGTAAATGACAAGTGTCTTTATTCTATATAACGCAACGAATGCTGATCCGAGATGCCAATTACAGTTTTGGACGCTTCCAGAGTCATTGGATGATGTATATTCACTCATTGGAGCAAGCGATATCCGACGTGCACGCGATTCGAGTCGAGAGAATATCGAAACGTTGATTGATAAGGTGGGTGGTGTGGTGTTGTATATACATGGCACGCGCTATTCTCGCCTTAACCAGAGAATATGGTAGTTGTTGGATCACATGAGTAGCATCGTCGACGCACCCAACTTTCCCGCTACACCAAACAGCATCCAACATTTGCTCAATTGCTGTCGAGTCTTTTCACGCATTATTCCATACATCTTTGAGAATCCACAATCAGCTGAATGGGAAGATAAGATCTTTTGGGTACCACGATCAGTCGAACGTCGCGTTGTCCCTGAAGCAAATAGCACGGATAATGAGGATCAGGTAAATCATTCATTCACTAAGGCCGTGTGATTTGGATGGTGGGTTTAATAACATGCTTTGGCTTATGTAGACCCAAAAGACACAACCACAATATGATACGTTACCTCCACGAGGCGAAGTGCTTATGTCATGTAAGAGAACATGGATCATCGGATAATGGTTCCCATTGATACTCATTGCGCCACACACACACACACATCCCGCTCTCTTTTCTTTTTTCCTTTGTTTCTAGTGACCCTCAAATGTCTGTTCCTGGCGGGATTTACATTACCACCCAACATGGCAACGGCCGATGGCAAAGTCAACTATGTGATATGGGAATCAGGCGTAGGCTCATCAACACCTATTGGATCATCGCGTGAAAACGATATGCATCGAATTGAAGTACTACGCTTGTTGATTGTATTGCTTTCACGATCGATGTATGTACCTCCATCCCAAGTCTTGTCAAAGGAAGATCGGTGGCTGCACTACATTGTCGCTAAAACGGAGCGTAAGGTGGTGCTTGCCCTTTTGTGCAGTACCCTCAACACAGCATGCAAATACAATCCACTCGGCTGGGGTGTCCCTTACAACCACATGATGTTCACTGATGTACGCGAACAGCTCGTTGTCATGTGCTTACGTGTCCTTTTGGTCATTCTCGATTATCATTCGCCTCGCGTGGCCCATACGATGCGACAAATGGATCAGACTGTCACCACTCCGCCTGCCGACATTGTTGAAAGCTTTGAGCATTTGGATATCAAGGATCCTGAAAAACGTCAATTGGCTGAAAAACAAGCAGCAGAAGCAGCAGCAGCAGCAAATGAGGATGAAGCAAATAGGGCGGCATCAGCATTGGATGATACAAGCGATAATGCATTCAAGCACTACTTGTCAAAACTTCATCGCGCTCAGGATTTCCAATTCTTGATTGATGGCATTTATCGTATCTTAAGCAACCCAATGCAGGTATGTTAACATTTTGCTTTGATGGGGTGATGCTGATGAAAAATGATTGGGTAATAGGCCAACAATACTTACCTTCCTGGCTCAACTAAGCGTGTCCGATGTCATGTTGAGATGATGATGTTGTGCTGGAAGTTATTGGAAACCAATTCGGTAAGCATGAATGGTGTTGGGGAGAATCCGATGGATTATGCTGACGGTACTTTGTGATATGACGGTAGCGTTTCAGAAGCTATTTGATGGAAACGGAGAGGGCATTGGATTTGATGGTCGTGTTGGTGTACTATGCCATGACGAATAAGACGGATCCTGGTAATTAGTCAATCATTGGAATGGTGGTGATAATTGCAATGCTGATGATGGCCTTTTCCTTGTAGCTCAAGTTGGTCTTGTCAGGATGTGTGCATTCATCCTTCAGACGCTTTCCTCGGATCGTACATTTGGTGTCAAGCTCAATCGCCCATTTGATGGTCATTCTTCACTTCCAGCAAGCGTGCGGATACCTGCTTTCCATGGCACATACGCCGATTACCTTATTGTTGTAAGTATCAATTGGTTCCCTTTTATCATTTCATAGTAGCTTACGGGTGTTCATTGTGTAGTCTATTTTTACGTTGATTGCTACATCTCGAGGCGCTTTATCAACATTGTATCCTGCGCTGATTCTCACCATCGCCAACATTTCACCTTATCTCAAGCATTTATCAGTGACATCCTCAAGTAAGCTGGTTGCATTGTTTGGATCCATGTCAGCTCCCGGTTTCATTTTGGCTGATGAGGCGAATCATCGATTGGTGGGATATCTTGTGGAGACATTTGATAATATTATCCAATATCAGTATTCAGGTGAGTAGGCTTATAGAATTGCAAGACATGGATGATAGTAACTTGAGATGTCTTAGACAATCCAAATTTGGTGTATGCCATTGTGCGTAACAATACCAGATTTGAAAAGCTACGTGACTTTACATTGGATGGTGCCATTGCCGAGGTAGAACGAATTCGTCAACTCAAGGAAGAAAAACTGCGCCAAAGCAACAATCCTGCTGCGACACCCAACACCACTACAAAGCCATCAGGAGAGGAGAATCAAACGTCAGAAGCTGCGCCAACAAGTGGTGGCAGTGGTGGTGATACCAGCAAATCCTCGAATTCAGATGCAGAAGGTTTGTCCGACAAGGCACGGGGTAAACGTCCTGAGAGCACATCGCCACAACAGCCACAAAGTGGGGCAAATGACCACAACAATGATACATCCACCGAAGGAAACAATGACACCATGCATACTCCTATGACACCAACAATGCCACCGAGACAAGCAAGCTCCACTTCATTGTCATCAGCTGTTCTTCCTGGTGCTAAGAATGGTTTTATTCCAACCGAAGATTGGGTAAGTGGTTGATGAGACATGGATGGAATTGGACCAAAGGTATCTGATATGGAATTTAGGTATCGCAATGGCATTCACAATTACCCCTCGAGCCTATTATGGTACTTTTGGAACATTTGATGCCCCAAGTGAAGAATCTATGCACTACACAATCGCTTACATCGGATGCACAAGTGCTTGATTTCTTGCGTGGTATCACACTTGTCGGTATCTTGCCACATCCACAGCCTATTTTCATTCGCAAGTTCCGATGGGGCGAAGCATTGGTGATTTGGTTCCGCAGCATGTTATGGGGTCAAGCCTATGTGTCTTCCATCTCGGATTATTCTCCTTGGAGTGGTACTCAGGTCAAATTGTTCCAAATCAAGCAACAGCTTACTGCCAACACGGCTGCTGCCAATAGCAACAATAATGCTTCCAGTCCCAATGCACCTCCACCACCTCCAATGGATGCAACATCCCCTCAACCCACTGCCGCCACTACGCCACAACAACAACAATAACATCACCACAAGCATTTGCTACTCACACCAAAAATCCCATTCCAATGTGTACTTTACCACATCTTTATATACATAAACTCGTTCCCAAAATATATACATGATGCTTTGCGTTTTCGGGCAATGGATTTATTGGTTTAGGTTGGTAGTAGTGTATTTAAAGCTTTGCCTTATCCTTAAGGAATTGGTTCCAATCGGGTTTCTCCTTGTTGAGGAATGCCATGATACCAAACACAGCTTCATCTGATTGCATCATTTTGAGATAAGCGTCCTCTACTGATTGTTGAACGTGTTGTTGGTGTTGTTCGGGGTTACCACCTGTGCTGATGGCATGGACAAGGCGTTTAATATCAGCGCTGGCACCTGGTGCTGATTCAACGAGCATATCAACGACTTTTTGTACGCCTTGATCGAGTTGGTTACGTGGAACCACACTTGTCCAATAAGCAGCTGCTTCACGTGCGGGAACACGACGACCTGTAAGCATCCATTCTCGAGCACGTTGACGACCCAATTCAGGTACAAGGTATTGAGAAATGATAGCAGGGATGATACCACGCTTGACTTCTGTAAGAGCGACATAGGTTTCTTCTTCGGCAACAACACGGAAGTCGGTGGTAAAGATGAGGCCAACACCACCGCCAAGGGCAGGGCCGTTCACACGAGCAATCACAGGCTTGGGGAAATGGTACAAGGCATCAAACACACGTAGACCTTTCCGGAATCCTTCTCGTACTTGTTGAGGATCATCCACCGATTTCGATGATGCTGATAAATCCATGCCGGTACAAAAGAATTTGCCAGCTCCTGTAAGCACAAGCACACGTACAGAGGCATCCTCCTTGAGTTTGGCAAGCATGTCGAGTAACAACTCGTTCATGTTGGCTGTTAATGCATTGCCTTTTCGTGGTCGGTTCAAAGTGATGGTAGCAATATGATTGTTGATCGATAAAAGGACTTCAGGTTCTTGTTGTTGTTGTGCCATGATTTGTTATTAAGGGGGAGGGGAAGAGGAAAGAGACGTGCGAAAAGAAATAGTCATCAATGCATATAAAATTCCATGCCAGATAAGTGAGTGGGGTATCTACCGCACGTGAAACCATGACAAACCATGCGTGAGTATATATCCAGTGTGGGGTTCTTTTCAAGATATTCATGCAGATTCACTTTCCCATCATATGTCCAACGCCAATAGTAGCTTTTTTATTATAATTCAACCATGAACAGTAAACGATTGTCTCGTATCTTGTTTAAGCCGACTTGGCAGTCTTCTTAGCGGCCAAAGCCTTGAGAGTGCCCTTCTTGGCATAGCGTTGGTTGCGAAGGAACTTGGCATCCACCTAAAAGAAAAAGAAAACTTGAGCATGTTGTTGCATTCCAATGACTATGACACAGTATACGTACACCCTTGAGCGAGGGATAACGGTGTTGTCTGGGCTTCTTGATACCGTTACGGTGAGCCTTGCTGTCTATAAGTGTTCGTAGGTCATGATGAGTATGCTGATGCGTTGACTGGTGTGTGTATATGTGTGTGTTGGCGTATTGTAGTGGTAGTGTGGTTGTGGTTGTGGTGGTATAGTGTGCTTACTTTGGTTGTGGTTGGTGTGGTTCTTGGACTTGGCCATTGTTAATTCCTATAATCCCCAAAGTCAATTTCATCCATTCAATCCATCCTTCATCCATCGATCCCTTGATGCATCCATTGATCCATCAATCAATTTTCATATATATATTGCATTTACCTTTCACTGGATTGAAAGAGAGAGGAGGTTGATTGGATTCACGAACCACTCACTCGGTCAATCCCCCCTCCTGCCTGCCAGCTCTGCTGTGGCACTATTCTCCCACCCCCACCCCCAACATTTCCCCTTACACGTGACTTGACCCATAAATCACCATACTAACAACTGCTTGAATGGATGTGATGAATGATAACATGTTATTACAAGGTAAATTTTTCTAGAAAAACAATGCAAAAAGACAAATATGAATGTAAAGATGCTATAGGAAGAACAAACTATGCACGATGTTTCCGCTTCTTGTTATCATCAACCGTTTCCATTGCTTCCCACATGGCTTGATCCTCTTCATCTTCCTCATCATCAGCTTCTTGTTGTTGCTCTTCCTCATGCTGGAATTCATCATCCACTAACAGACACGTCATACGCTGCTTGAGATACACCTTGTGCTCCACCTGCGGAAAGTGGTCTTGGTTTCATGCACCCGTGCAAATCGATCCAGTGATACAGTGACAAGGTATGCACTTGCGGCGCTGACTCGGAAAATCCTGGCTGCAGGTGCCATGGCAACGGCTGTACCACTACCAGTCAAACCTATCATACCAATGTCAATATGCCAACTCTTTGGTACGATCCTTCTTCTTCTCTACCCTTGTATTGTCCAAGTGTGCGTCCTGTCTCCACATCAATAACACGTACAGTGTTCATGGTATCCGTGAAAATCAATTCGCTGGTAATTTTT